AGCCTTTGACCCGCCCCCAGATCACCTCCCCGCCCCAGTCCCTTTCCCAGCCTTTCCGGAGTACCCAATGTGCAGGATACCAAGGGCTCCGTGTCCTCAGGGACCGCCCAGGCAGTGCCCTCCAGATACACGAAGCCCCACAGAGCACCTTCGGCTGCCATGGCCCGAAGGTGGCTGGCTGGCTACCCCACTATGCACTGCACGGCGGCATCCTGCAGGGCAGCCCAGGGCATGCCGGGAGGCGGGGCAAGCCCCAGGCCGTGGAGAGCAGAAGTGGATGCCAGGAACCTTCTAGGGTCGCCTAAGAAAGTCGGGTCGGTGGGTGTCGGACTGAGCAGGGAGAAAAATGGGAGCCAGGACTACTGGCAGGGGCAGCACAATGTCCCCCTTGCCCCAGATCCTGCCACTTGCCCCAGACTAACCTCTACCTACAACCCTAGGCTGGTGAGCCAGTTCCCCAACTCCGAGAAATCTTGCCAAAAGGAGTGAAATTCTCCTTTTTTTATAAGCCTGTGTCAACTCCTAAAGCTCAACTGTTTTTTCTGGCCTCCCATCATTCACTCTTCCCTGTTTTCCAACTCTTGTCCCTTATGAGTCTCGGTGGGTGCCATTCCCAGCTTCCCACCAAGCAGGACGCCAAGCACTTGTTTTCTAGGTGCTGAGTGTTCCCTCCACCCCAGTTACCCTCGCAGCCCCGGCCCTGGCTCAAGGCCTCAGAGCAAATGGAAAGCACACATCTTGGTGTTGGATGGCAGTAGTATGCAGTTTTGACATTAGAAGGACTGGCATGGTGTTCAGTGATGGAGGTGGCAACAGAACTGTCACCACCAGCCCAGGCTAGTGGTGTGACTGGGCTCTGCACTGGCCATGCCCGCCAACCTTTTCTGTTTACATAGGCCACAATTCATTTCTCTTGTCTGCAGCTGAGAATGCTGATTGAGGCATCCTCCTACATCTGATACATCTCTTGCTATCAGCATGAGGCTTCACCAGCTTTCTTTGAGCCAACAACCACTCAGCAGGTGCTATGCTGTAGATTCTTTATCCCCCAAGGAAACTAACAGATCAAGTGTGCCCATGACAGTTTCTGGGGCAAAGTCAGTTCTTCCTTCCCACAGCATGTAAAAGTGGCACACCTGCTGCACCCAGCAACCTGGGCTAGCTACGTGAGCCAAGCAGCTCAGTCCCACATTCACATAGGTCAATGCCAATGGTACAGTGGACAAAGGCAGCCAGAGGTCAAGATAGTCCGCCATGTCATATTAAAGCCAGGTGAAGTCATGTAGCTCTTCGGACACTCTATGATATCTGCTGTGCCCTCCATGCTTGTTCAGGATCAGGAGTCCCAAGAAAAATCTGAAAACCCAGTAACACTCTGCCCCTTACATTAATGACATTAATGGCCCTTTAGTGAAAAGCCTTTGAAAATTACTCTTGGATTTTTGTGACAAAAAAAGTGTCTCCCTTTGATAAATCAGATGCTTCATTTTGTCAGAAAATGGCAGCTATACAGCTCGTCTTACTTCTCTTTCTGCTTTGGCTGCCAGGAATCTCCAAGCTAAATTTACTCTTTAGATAAAGTCACCATCTGTCTCATCTCAGAGTCCTTGCCCCCTTCCTCAGCATGGTTTTCGATCTTCCTGAGTAACAATCACTTGGGGAAACTCTTTTGTTGGCTATTGCTTTTGATTCTTTTGTGGAAGTTGGCTGGAAATCAATTATAATTTATTCTAAACTCACGTACTGCAGCCTGCCTCATCACTGTTGCCTAGTCTTTCTGGGGAGACTGTATTGCTATCCAGAAAACATATAGCTGGGCACACAGCAGCTCCCCCACAAATGTCTGTAAATGGTCCTCTAAGACCTAGCCTATCCCTTGTCCCTTCACTCTAGGGTCACTCTAGGATGGCTCGAGGCCCTTTCAAAAGTTGTCTCTAGTTCTCACAGCAACATTCCAGTAGACAGCATTTACTCCCTTTTAGGGACAACAAGAGTGAAGTTCAGAGATGTTCAGAGGCAAGGCTACCCAGGCAGAAGGCCACATCTGGGTCCCAGGGTCCATCAGAGCCAGGTGGGGGCTGGGCTGCAGGTTCCGTTACTACTACAGACTCCAGTCCATCTATGCAGCACAATCTTTAAACATAGAGAAGAGTGCTGCAATTTGGCCAGGGTATGTACAGCCAGGCCTCTGCACGTTCAGATTGCGGCAGACTGGCTTGGATTCCCGGCCCTTCCCCCGTGTGACCCAGGGAAACCTGCTTACTCCCTGTGTGGCCTTGGTTTCCTCTTCTATGAAGTGGAGATGGTAACACTTGTTTTTCCAACTGCCCAGATGCACTAGAAAAGGGACAGTTAGTACCAGACACCCAGCGGGCACTCCTCGGGGTTCCTCCAAAGCTCCCAAGGGCTTGTGGGAATGTAAGGGTCTAAGCAGTGCCTGGATGTCTGTACTGCCCTCAGCTTCAGACCTTCCGTTCTGGCCTCAGCCATTTCAAAAATTCCAGGGCAGGTCTGGACATGCCTGCCAGGCCGAAGCTGCTCAGACACCACTTGAGATCCCCAGTAAATCTGAGTATGGCCTAGGCCTAGGGACTGCCTGTGAGCTACACAATTGTGTTTCCACCAGCAACTGTGTCTGCACCAGTGGCAGGTGGGGATCCAGGTGACCCTCCTGATTCCTGTGCACATGGATATCTGCCTGAGGTGCCCCCTCCAGGACCTCCCTACCCCCTGCCCACAGGCCAAGGTGGGTGGGCTGAGCAAGCCCATCTAGGCCTCCCAGAGCAGAGGTGTGGGCACTGAGCTGGGGAAGGGGCAGGAGATGGATCTGAGGCTCACTGTGCTTTGTGCCCTCTGACCCTTTGCAGTCCCCATCAAGGATCAAAATCACTCACCGGGGCTCAGGGTGTCCCCCATCCTGCAGACAGCCAAGGTCTGGCTGAAAAGGAGTAAGAGGAGGAGAAAGAGGAAGGGAGGTAGTGGGAGGAGCTGGCCTAGCTTGTCGGGATCTAGCAGGACTCAGCCAATGTAGCTCCAGGTCCTTCCAGTCACCCTGTAGGGGCCAAGGTGTGGCCAAGGCGGGGCCAGCAGCTAGGCTCAGCTCTCTGCCTGCCCACTGGTCCAGGCTGATCCTGGGGATGCAGCCCAGTCCACCCTCTGGGAAGAGAGGTCCTCCCAGAGTTAGGAAAGCAGGGATGCTGGCTTTTGCTTTGACCACTTGAATCAAGCTAGGGGCAGATAAGGGCATGGAGGCTGGGGCACTCACACAGCTGTCAAGCCTATAAAACCTCTGCAATGTCCAGCAGCCCATGCCACTGTCCTGTGCTACCTCTGCGCATGGCAGTCAAGTGATAAACACACATAGCCATCATTTACATCAGGCATAGATCACCTCAGTCATCATCACAGACAGATCAGAGGTCCAGATCACGTCACCTGGCAAGTATCAACCACACACTTCCTATATATCTCCATCATGATTGGTCACACATATCACAGGCATTTGTCATCAGTCAAATCACCATCCTCATCACTGTCAACCCTGCAGGAAACAGGGGCTGTGAGAATGCCCTGACCTGAACCAGACTTCACACTGTGATACCCACAGCCACACACTTATACAAGCACAATTACACATGCACAGGCCACTACATACACAGACACACATCCTCAGCCGTGTTTGCACTCCAAGGATGGGCCTTAACAAGGGGGCCTCTTGGGGTAGGAGATGGAGAAAGGGCTGTGGAGAGAGGCAGGCACCTGGAAGGAAGGAGGAGGGAGATGGGGCTTACCTCTGGGCCCTGGCACCTAGGTTAAAGAGTTAAGGTGCTGGAATCTCACACCCAGGCTTGACTGCCCCTGGGCAAGTTACATAACTGCCACCCCTCCCTTCACTGCTTCCTAATTGGGAGTAACCGTACTTATCCCACGGGTGATGCTGGAGGATTAAACGTTTGGCTCCGTGTTGAGTGCTTCACAGAGGCCCACTGTCCCTACAGATCTACACTGGCGCACTCACAGGCAGTTACCCACAGACCCCCAGTGGGTACACTCTGGCCAGAGTGCAGGTTGGTGCAGAGAGGCACACGGAGGGGTTTGAGTAGTTGGGGAGAGGGTCGTCTCACAGGCAAAGACGCTGAATCTCAAGTGGGGAACCGAGGCGAGAAGAGGATGTGGGATTCACCGAAGGTGAAAGGCCGGGAAGGGCCTGAGATGGGGTCTCGGCCCTGTCCCCAAGCCGGGCGCCCCGGCCGGCTGGCCTCCCTGGGCGGCCACGTCTGCAGCCCCCGCCCGCGGCCCACAGGGGAGGAGCTGGGGTGGAGAAAGTGGCCGGGCGCGGGCGCCGGGGGCCGAGGAAAATCGTGTCTGCGCGCGCGGGGCGACGAGCCAGTGGCTGCGGCGCGGACCAAAGAAAGTTGAGTCCACACCGACGTGTGCACGCAAGGTCCCGGGATAAGTGCGGGCGCGGGCCCGGGATGGCGGCCCCAGGTGGCAGGCCCCGCTGCCCCGCCACGGCCCCTCAGAACGCGCCCTCACCGTCCGAGTCCTCCCGCTCCGCGCGCTCCCCGTAGTCCACCCAACTGAGCCCCTCGAGGTTGTCATAGTCGCCGCGCCGCGGCCCGTCCACCGGCACCACTGTGAAGTGAGGCATCGCGCACACTCAGCCCCGCCGCACCCGCCGTCCTGGCCGCCCGCCGCTGTCCCCGCCGCCCCGGGCCGACACGCCCCGCCCGCTCGCATTCCTCCCTGCTGCGCTCACTTCCTCCGCCCGCCCCCCGGGCCGCCCCTCGGGGGCGGAGAGCGGGAGGGGCTCTGGCCGGCTCCTCCCAGAGCGGGGGCCCTGGTGGCGGGAAGACCCCTAGGCGGGGGCACTCCTACTGGCTCCACGGCCTGGGGGCGGGCCCGATTCCTGTGTGACGTCGGGTGAGAGGCCGCCCTCTCTGAGCCCCAGATGCAATATTTGTAAAATGGGGCAAACACACTTCCACCTAGGGGTTATTTTAGGGTTCTGTGAGATGGGTCGCGGGGTGTCCTTGCTCTGCGCCCTGGACAGGGCAGGGCAGGCCGGACCGGCCCAGGACTGCGGAAGCCACTTGCCCAGGGCCTCCTGCCATCCCCGGATACCTCCTTCCCATTTCCAGCGTCTGCATCCAACTTCTCCGCGACCCTGGAAACCGGACCCCCGCGAAGGTCCCGTCCCAGCCCTGGGCCCTCTAGCCGCAGCCTCTCCTATTGGAGGCAGCTGGGGATTCTCGGTCCTTCCCCAGGGGCTGCTACGTCCTCGGCAGGAAGAACACCCACACCCACCCTCCCGCGCCGCCCCTGCCCCGCTTGCCTTTTTGGGCCTGTACACTGGGTGCTTTAGCCAAGTCCCTTCATTTTAACTTACTCTGACTATCTCACCTCCTGGGTGTTCCTCTACGCAAGCCGTTTACTTATTTGCTCCTAACGTTTCTTTCACTTTCTTCTCCACTGCTTCAGAATACTTATCTAGTTGGCTTTACTGTTTTTTTGTCTATCAGAAAACCCCAGAGCCCATCTTACTTGTCTATCTCCACTCTTCTCCCTCACGTGGCTCGGGTGGCGTCCTCTGAATACGCCTCCTACTAGCCTCCAGCTCGGGGGTGGGGGGGTGCGGAATCAGAGCCGCTGGGCCCCGCGAGACGACCCCCGAGCTTACCACCCTCTGACCCCTCCCCCACGGCCCCCGCGGCGGGCCCCTCCAACCTGACCCACCCGCCCCTCACGCCACCTTCGGCCGCCCACAGTAGCGTCCTTCCTACTGGACTCCCTGCTCTCGCCCCTGCTCGCGTAGAGCCGCCTCTTCCGAAGGAAAATCCTACTAGCTCCCGGCCCATAAGGCCCTGCCCAATGCGGCCCGACCCCGACCTCTGCAGGGGCATACCTCGCCACCTAACTCACAGCCTCAGCCCTTCAAATCTCTCTCTCTCACCTGAGACCTGTGGAGTTTCTGGGCATCACCGACTGTTCACTCTGGGGGACATCTACCTAGCCTCTGTCCCTACCCTCACTTATCAAACTCCTGATCCAGGCCGGACGCGGTGGCTCACGCCGGTAATCCCAACACTTGGGGAGGCTGAGGCGGTAGGATCACCTGAGGTGAGGAGTTTGAGACCAGCCTGGTCAAATGGTGAAACCCCATCTCTACTAAAAATACAAAAAAATTAGCTGGGCGTGGTGGCGGGTGCCTGTAATCCCAGCTAGTTGGGAGGCTGAAGCAGGAGAATCACTTGAACCCGGGAGGCGGAGGTTTCAGTGAAGCGAGATGGCACCATTGCACTCCAGCAAGAGCAAAACACTGTCTCAAACAAACAAACAAAAAAACCTTCAAGGCCGGCCCGGTGGCTCACGCCTGTAATCCCAGCACTTTGGGAGGCCAAGACAGGCAGATCACAAGGTCGGGAGATCGAGACCATCCTGGTTAACACGGTGAAACCCTGTCTCTACTAAAAATACAAAAAATTAGCCAGGCGTGGTGGCCGTGCCTGTAGTTCCAGCTACTTGGGAGGCTGAGGCAGGAGAATGGCATGAACCCGGGAGGTGGAGCTGGCAGTGAGCCAAGATTGTGCCACTGCACTCCAGCCTGGGTGACAGAGCAGGACTCTCTCTCCAAAAAAATAAAAATAAAAGCAGGCCAGCCACCTGGGAGGTCGAGGCGGTTGGATCACCTGAGGTCAGGAGTTCAAGACCAGCAAGATCAATATGGTAAAACCCCGTTTCTACTAAAAATACAAAAATTAGTCAGGCGTGGTGGTGGGCACCTGTAATCCCAGCTATCTGGGAGGCTGAGGCAGGAGAATCGCTTGAACCTGTGAGGCAGAGGTTGCAGTAAGTCAAGATCCCACCACTGCACTCCAGCCTGGGTTGAAAAAAGAAAAAAGCATATGGTGGTTAAGTGCTTAATGGGTATAGGGTGGGTGCCTGGGACGAAAGGCACACACCACTGTGCCTGGGTCTTACATTTCTGCTTGTTCTTTTTTTTTTTGAGATGGAGTCTTGCTGTATCTCCCAGGCTGGAGTGCAGTGGTGTGATCTTGGCACACTGCAAGCTCCGCCTACCAGGTTCATGCCATTCTCCTGCCTCAGCCTCCCAAGCAGCTGCGACTACAGGTGCTCGCCACCACACTGGGCTAATTTTTTGTATTTTTAGTAGAGATGGGGTTTCACCATGTTAGCCAGGATGGTCTCGATCTCCTGACCTTGTGATCCGCCTGCCTTGGCCTCCCAAAGTGCTGGGATTACAGGCGTGAACCACCATGCCCGGCTATTTATTTTATATTTTATGAGGCACAGTTTCACTCTGTTGCCCAGGCTGGAGTGCACTGGTGTGATCTCAGTTCACTGCAACCTCCTCCTCTTAGGTTCAAGCAATTCTCATGTCCCAACCTCCTGAGTAGCTGGGATTACAGGCATGTTCCACCACACCCAGCTACTTTTTGTATTATTAGTGGAGACAGGGTTTCACCATGTTGGCCACGCTGATCTCAAACTCCTGACCTGAAGTGATCCGCCTCCCTTGGCCTCCGAAAGCGCTAGGATTACAGGCATGAACCATTGTGCCCAGCCTCAAAACTTATTTTAAAGTTGCCGTAATGAAGACAGTGTGGTATTAATATGATAAACACATAGTCCAAATAAATGGAACAGACCCAGACATATATAGACCCTTGGTTTATAACATAGGTGGCACTGGAGTCATTCTTTCTCCCAATTCAAGGTTCCCATGGAAGGAACTTAGATTTGGCTCTGGCCCAACTGGAGAGGAAAGCGGCCAAAGGAAGAGGCCATTCGAGTGAGTCATGCACATCCCATGAGTTTCATTTCTTTTTTTTTTTTTTAAGATTTGGTGATTCTGCACCCCCACATTTAAAAATAAGTTTTTTAAAAAATCAGAGGACCTAATCTGAGAAATCGTTTACAAAGGTACTCTCCAGATAATTCCAAACAAGTTATTCTTTTTTAGGGGGGTCGGCGGGAACGGAGTCTCACTCTTTTGCCCAGGTTGGAGTGTAGTGGTGCAATCTCGGCTCACTGCAACCTCTGTCTTCTGGGTTCAAGTGATTCTCCTGCCTCAGCCTCCTGAGTAGCTGGGACCACAGGCATGTGCCACCACGTCCGACTAATTTATTGTATTTTTAGTAGAGACGGGGTTTCACTGTGTTAGCCAGAATAGTCTTGATCTCCTGAACTCATGATCTGCCCGCCTCCACCTCTCAAATTCTGGGATTACAGGTGTAAGCCACCCCACCCGGCCAAGTTCTTTATTCTATAAATAGTATCAGCTTCTAAAAAAAACAAACACACTTAACATCCTGGAGAGAAACTGGGAAGCACCCCACTGTCACACTCCACGAAGGGACTGAAACTGAACTCACTTCCTT